AAATAAGTACAATAATATTATCTACAGAAGAATAGCTACCAACTATCGGTGTTCGTAGCCGCGTCGACGACATGAAGATGCTTATAATGTTATTAAGTTTTTTCCTCACCCATAAATTTGTGCTGCAATCATAGGAGCTCATAGCAGAGTCCTGCTCGGTTCCCTTTATGGACTGATCTTGTAGAGCAGACTAAGCAAGACCATATTTATCAAGCTAGGAATTGACTAAATACGCGGGTACGCGTTTGTATCGTTACATCCGCATACTAGACGTAATAAGTTACGTGTGGAGAATTATGGATTGGATTTGAAAGAAAGTTTACAAATGTGAAAACTATGCGGGCTAATAATCGATCTCGGAATGGTATGTTCTTTTGTTTCTTATTAAATTGACGTAGAAATAACAAGTTTTGGCAGAATGATCATATACTTCCTTTATTAACTTTCTAATCGATTTTAGGCGAATGTTAAACTTTCGATTCAGTCTTGTTCGTACGTAATAATTTGAATAGTTCTCGGAATCAATGCAGAAATACGCCCGAATTTGTCAACAGTAAATTCCATTTGTTTAATTTTTCTTATACTATGAGGTATTAAAAAAAACCGTCCAGACGTCGTGATGATGACATCAGTGCAAAATCAGGCTACTATTTTTCATCAATCCTTTCTTCTGATGTTAACATTTTAATGCTGAGACACATGTCTGATTATATGTCGTTACAGCTATACAGTCAACAGTTCCACTAAGCAGAAAGCATCTGCGCAATCATTGGCACTAATGTTGGGGTGGCATCTTCTGTAGAGACATTCGGTAGCGGCGATTTTTGAAATATTATCTGGTTCAATTGATATCACCGAGATAAATTTACAACTGACGTATTCGTCGCTGTCGCTTCAAGCTGCAAAATCACATAGTAAATCCGGACTCGTAGGTTAGTGGTCGTTGTATAGTCGAAAGCATGCAAATTGTTGGTGTCTGCGACCTCGCAAGAGCCTGTATAATGTCGGGAGTGGCTCATAGGCACCACCAACATCTCAATTAGAAAGCAATCAAACTTTACATAAATGATTATATCTCTGGACAATAGTAGCGCTGTGTTAAGGTATTCTGACATTTCTCATGCGTTCGAGTGATATGTCGTGCACCTTTATCGCTTATGCCATACAAACTGTTTTTGCAGCCAAATGCAGCTATAGATTATCGACTAATAGGGTATTAGTCAGTAACAGCTATTTTAACTAAATTAAAATGGATCTCTGAGCATATCTGTAGCTCGAGTGAAGCAGATATTTAACCCCAGAAAATGCAGTTCTTTTGAGTAAATTGTACATGGTAGATGACACGCAAGAGCTAGTCGAAACATTAATAAAAAGGGAGTGCAAAATGTCGTTTAAACAACAGGTATCTTAACGATATTAACGAACAAGCGTTTCAAACGACGACTTCTTATATCTATTATAAAGAAAAAGTTTGTTAAGCTAAAAATGAGCCTGGGTCTTGGCAAATACATAATTTATTCTCCATTAATTCAAATATGTTTAAACTTGGGTCGAAATTAATGAGCAATAAATTTTGGGATTGAGCCTGTCCTCCACTAGTTATATATTCTATATATAAATGATCCCGTAATGTTCTAATTGTATTGTTCACCCTGAGATGTACGTCCAAGTATCCCATTTCACCTACTATATCTTTTATCTGACCCTCTTCCTTATACAAATTAGAAAAGGACGTAACCATATCAGATATGCGCTGTTATATTTGTATCGAAATTCCATCACTATTTACACAAGCTAACACTGCCGAAGGCTATGTTACAAGAAAACTCAAATCGAATAATGTTTGAGTGACCCAATGGACGATAGCGATCAAATAATGAGCCCACAGTGCTCATGTGACGACCGACAACCTGAATATGGGGGACGCTTATAGCTAGGGTCTCTTTCCAGAGCATTGGCACTAAAAATCCTCTAATTGCTTCCTTCTGGTCCACATCACGAAAGCGAAGTTATAGGTAGCCGTATCAAAGATATATTGTAACAGCTTCTTGGGATCATGATCATGATCCCTGTTTATACAGATAGTTGCTTCTTCATTTATGTTCTTAGTTCAGTACAGCAACAATACGTGGTTCTATACAGGTAGCTGTGCAGAGGACAATAAAAGCTAAGCTTTTTCTCGACCAAGCTTATAATTTTGCCATGCAAGAAATCTATCTGACTTAATATCCGAATCGTGTTTACTTTATTCATTATGTGAAAATTCAAGCTTAAACAGTAATAAATAGTTCTTTGTCCCACAGGGGCCCCTTTTGACGTCCCCGTCAAAGCCCATAAAAAATAATTGCGAGTTAGCATGCAAGTATATATTCTTGTCTCATAGATTCCTTCCGACAGGTCCTTGTGTTGCTGTATGGATTAAGAGAGATAACAAAAAAATCCGTGGAAATGATAGCCGAGAATTTCGTACATGAAATGGTGGTTTCCGCGTGCAAATTTGCTTGACCGTCTTCGGCAATAACAACAAATACAGCAATGTGTCACGGTACGACATATGTTTCTTTGTGGTACACCACACAATGCTTCCTTCATCTTGTCTACCTCTCCCAGCGAAATTGAAACAATTTCAGCGCAAGTCGGGTCTTCCTCAATCTACATAACGTGCAAGAGAAGGTCACACGGGCGCTGAAATCAGCCATTGCTTACAAACTTCCAGCTTTGCTTGTTACTCAAAAGCAATTTTCTAATTAAACACGCGTTTGGATCGCATTTTGACGCAGCCAAATTTTTTTAGACAACCTCATGACCAGCGAACAAAGCTCGTTTTACATTTTATGCAAATCTTCATGCCCGTATGATTTCAAATCCCGATTAAATATGATGGTATAGCATGTACTCGTTTTTGAAATTTCTATATAAGCCGCAGTGAAGTCATAAAGTGTTTAATTTGAAATTAAAGAAGCTGTATCATTATAAAATTACGTGACTTTCTGTGTCTAAGTACAAAACTTTAAATGCTGCAGCATCAGATGAATGTTAGTTTCCTGCTTAATATGTCTAGAAAAAGCTTATCATAAATTCTATATATTAGCCATTACAAAGCACTCTTTCCATCATCATTTGTTATATTACTATAAGTTTGGATTTGTCATTTCTTTAGAATTATATTACATATCAAAAAAGCTTAGAAGCGATTGGCGACGATGGGTAAAATCATTCGTGTAAATGATGAACTTCTTGACGCCGTGCAGCTAGAATTTTTGTTGACCCTCTCTTATTAAACGAGCGTTCACTAATAGTGTATCAATGTATTATGTTTGTGATAAAGATTGTCGAACAAACAGAACAACATAATGTTATTATAATCTAATCACGCGGTATAAACGTTTCGGTATGTTATACTTTAAAGTGAATGTGAATTAATGAAAATTTTTGAATAAACAAAAAGTTGTTTTTAAGCCAATCATGTACGTGTGTTAATAGTAGTGACCGAGCCAATGAGTGACTCCAAATATGCATCAACAGTCTTTCTTCTTGCATGGAATATCCACTATAAAGTAATTTCTGCTATGGAAAGAAGTAACATCCTTACCAACCCCGTTCTGTAGGCACTACGGGAAGCTGAATACCTGGTAGGCAACGCAATTCATAATGAATAAAATATCGTCATATGTCACATCCTAGAAAGTTATAAAATGCACTTTTTATTCGTGGAAGAGTAGTGAAAATGATAAATAGAAGTGAGGCAATCTACTGAAGCCGTGAAGCAAAAGAATTAAGGTGATTCCAGCAGTAAGGAGGTCAAATTAAAGTAATCGAAAAGCCGTGAACATACGTGGTAGTCCTTGCAAAAACTATCAAAAGAAGGATGATGATTATTTTAAAATCAAATAGTTTACAGCTTAAAAAGTTGCATTGAATCTATTCGGTGCATCAATTACTTCCTCCTCTTCTGGTTATTATTTATTTTTAATCTCGCATTTTTGTCAACCTTAGTGTGTCGATTCATACTCCTTGACTAAGGTAAAGTAATAAGGCAAAAGACATATTTCCGAAGCGGAAAGCATTTTAGAGCCTTTCCCATATATCCATCAGCTACTATTGTATTAAAACAATTTCACTAAAAAACTGTACTGACTACAGCCTTCTGTCTTGCAGCGGTATTAGTCATGAGCCCACTGCGCAGTAGCAGTTCTTAGTGGTGGCACTCGATAATCTTAATTTATTCCGCTTAAAGATATACCATTGCCGTGAGCTGATCAACCTTGTAAAAATTAAGCTCGTTTTGATTGTGTGATCAAAAGAAATGTAAAGGTGGAAGTGCCGGTATTATCTCTTGGAAGAGGAGATGATTTTATCATTTATTTCATGGACCTTTGATGTTGTCTTTGTCAGAGTGCTTGAACTCAGCGTTTGTGAGCAGCAGTTCGACAATGATATGGGGAGAGCTTTGTCTATCAGAAGAAACGTGTTTTGATTAACTTTTGAGAGATATTTTTTACTATTAAGGAGATATTGTTCAGACTAATAAGTTCAGGAATGCGTGCGCACTTTGATCTGTGCAAAACACGGTACATCACAATTCTAAACCACTTTTAAAATAGCCCGTGAATTTAAGCCTTATAGTAGGATAAGACAAGCTGGGCAGATGTTTCTTTCAGGGAACCTGTATGTATGGCGTATTTGATGAGAAATTAAGGAAGCACGTCGGATCCATCTAAGCTAGCGGTGAAGGCAATAGTAATGCACATTCAAATATTTCAATTTGAATAGAAATGGCGGGTCGAACATAGATTTTCACAATGTCAACTTTTTAACCTGTTTATGAGTAATAATTCCATCGGGAGTCTTGCGTGAAGAGACTTGCTTGCCAGATGAGCCTGAATGATTGCCATAAAAGGTTTTAGGAATCAGTAGCTTTCTAGTTTTTTTCATGCAGTAGTCATCTGTACAACGATTTAAAGCATTATAAATCTGCATCAATAGCAGCCATATCTGTTATGAGCCCAAATACGTTGGCTCCCAATGACATCCTCACGGATGACGATTACTTTATATGGGAATTTAATGCACGCATGGCACTCGCGCGCAAGGATCTTTTGGATCACGTTTTAGTTAAGCCAGAGCCGGCAGTGCTACGAGAGAATCCCGGATGGAAAGTCGCCGATATGAAGGCTCTGGCTGTGCTGGTAAAGCTGCTCTCTCCAACCTATCAGTGTATGGTTCAAGAATGTGAGTCTGCTATTGAGGCCTGGGAGGTGTTGAAGACATTCTTAGCAAAGAAGAATCTTCACAACCGAGTGCAACTTCGAAAGGAACTCCATGAGTTTGTGATGGAGACTGGTACGAATCTAGTGGATCATCTACTGAAGTTTGATGAGCTGTGTCTAAAGCTCAGGGCTGCCGGTGACAGCATGGATGATGATGAGAAGCTGGTTTTGCTTTTGGGAAGTTTATCATCCGAATACGATTATATGGTGCGCATTATCGAGGCACACAGTAACGTGACGCTGCTGGACGCGAAAGAGATGCTCCGTCGTGAGTATGACACTCTTTAGAAGCGAGACAAGAAGGAAACCGCTTTTAAGGCGCATGCTCCGCGCAATGAACCTCGACGTTTTCAAGGGAACCGAGGACATTGTGGGCAAACAGAAAGTCAAGACCGCTACCCAAGTTCGAGAAGAGGAAAGGCTAATGCAAGTTTTTAAGGCAAGTGCTTTGTACGTGGACGGCACGGACACAAACGATCGCAGTGTCGTAACGTGAAGCCATCAAGACCTGGTGATGAGTTTGTTTTTTCGGCATCTAGTGACAAAACAATTTCGAGTTCGACTTGGTTGCTGGATAGTGGTGCAAGTCGTCATACGACTGATGACAAACGTGAATTTGTGGAGTACGAAGATTTAATTGCCCCAATTTACATTACTGTGGCGAATGGACAGCAGTTGAAGGCACAAGGAACAGCGACTGTGCGATTTTTACTCGAGAATGGTCGCACAGTCAAGCTTACGGAGGTGTTACATGTGCCTGGTCTAGACAAGAAACTTGTGTCGGTAGCAGCACTGACGGCCCGAGGCAGGCTTGTTCAGTTTAAGCGGGATCAAGCAGTTCTGATGAGCGACAACATGACTGTAGCAGTGATTAAAAGAGTGGGAAAGCTGTTTGCGTGGAATGTGAAATATCATGTCACACTTGAGGCAAACAAGGCTGATAGCAGTGATGTTTTCGATAACAGTAGTGGACTATGGCATGCTCGCCTAGGTCATGTGTCTGCAACCAAGATCATGCAAGCGATGAAGTCTTGCGATGGCATCCCGAAAGTTGTTGCACCGGATGGCGGTGTATGTGATGGATGTGCACGCGGGAAAATGACAAACAGCCCGTTCAGTCATACTTCAGGAAGTGAAGTTAAGGTAAGCCGACCACTCGAGATCGTGCGTACCGATCTTATGGGTCCTATGAACCCAAAGTCGAAGGGTGGGGCTCTTTACGTACTCACATTTATTGACGACTACAGCCGATTTGTCTACGTATACTTGCTAGCAGCAAAGTCCCAAGTTTGTGAATGATTCAAGGCGTTTCGTGCTATGGTGGAGACGCAAACGGATTGCAAGATTAAGTGCATCCGCAGTGACAATGGTGGGGAGTATACAAATCATCGGTTTGACAAGTACTGTGGTGATCTTGATATTATTAACCAAACAAGCGTGCCGTACACTCCTCAACTGAACGGTTTAGCGGAGCGGATGAATCAAACCCTCGTTGAGATGGACCGCTCTATGACTTATCACATGGAAGTTGATCGTACGTGGTGGGGTGAGGCGATTATGGCGGCTGCGTACACAATCAATCGGATTCCGAATACTGCACGACCTAACACAAGTCCATTCGAGACGCTGCATGGATCGAAGCCAGATCTGAGCCATTTTCGTATTTTTGGTTCAACTGGATATCGACGAGTCGCGGATTGTAAACGCACAAAATGGGACAGCAAGGCCAACAAGTGCATCTTTCTCGGGTATTCGGAAATGTCAAAGGCATACCGAGTGTGGGATCTGGATAGAGAACAATTGGTCATGACTAGGTCCGTTAATTTAAATGAGCGACCTCCTTCACGGTACAAAGATGTCGTTGTTCTACGTGACCCTATTTCTCACTGCAAGAACTCTCATGATGAATGCGACGAAATGGAGGTGACCGTACCTTACTCGAAAAAGAATGGAGAGGTTGCGGATATGGACATTGATGAGACTGCTGACAATGAACAAAGTTGGTACGATATGGTTGTGGATGCGTCTGGATATTTCAATCTGTCACATGATTTAGCTGTTGTTCCGATTGAGGGGGAGTGCGGATATGCAAGTCATTGACACAAACGATTCAATGATAGGTCGCACACCACTCGAACCGGTTGCTAGAGGTGGCGATAAAATCATTCGCACATGTTTCAAGGTTCACTAGATCAGTCGCAAGCTATTGTTCTGTGTGACAAACCCCCTTCCCAAGGAGACCGACTGGAGATATACTCGGGGTCTAACAAAAGGCCTTATAGTACGCCAACTCGTCTACTTACTCATGATGGTTTTGACGATGAGAAGATTGATTTACCGCTTCTGGATGATGGATCGCCGGTAGACAGCGAACACGATGAGCCAGACCCCAAACGTCAATGTGTTGACGGTTACGAAATTTCGCTTTCTGCTACTGATGTACCGATGAATTTACGAGAGGCGCTGCAGTCAATCGACGCGGAACAATGGAAAGCAGCGATTAAGCAGAAATTAAAGCTCATATAAAGAACCACACATGAGACGCTATCTATCGTCCTCCAGGTGACAAGGTCATTGGTCACAAGTGGGTATTTAGGCACAAGTACGACGAAAAAGGTGATATTGTTCGTTACAAAGCGCGTTTGGTTGCCCTCGGATATCTACAAACGCATGGATTTGATTATTTCGACACATATTCACCTGTCGCGTGCTCAAACACGATTTGTGTGTTCTTGTCGGTTTGTTGCAATATGCAATATGTGATTCGGCAATTTGACGTGAAAACGGCGTTTTGTAATTGTTATTTAGAAGAAGAAGTCTACATGGAGCCACCCGTTGGAGTCGAGATTGCACCTGGAATGGTGTTCAAACTACGCCGCAGTTTATATGGATTAAAACAAGCAGAAGCGGTTTGGCACAAGAAAATATGCTCTGTGTTTTCTGCCATGGGCTTCGAACAATGTCGAGCAGACACATGTCTTTTTGTTCGACGCAATCATACAAACAATCAGTCACCCACATACATAGTCTTGTAGTGGACGACCTCCTGATTGGGTCAAGTCAGATGCAGAGGCGGACACGATTTTCAAGGAACTGTCAGAGCATTTTACTGTGAAATCACTTGGAGCTGCGCGATTAATTTTGGGCATGGAGGTAAATTACTCAAAAGAAAAGGGAGAATTGGCGCTAAAACAGACCCAATTTATAATGAAGTTGGTCTCGAAGTTTGATCAAAATGGAGCTTACGCAGTACGCAACCCTATCTGCGCAGGCCAGGATTTAACTCCGGATGAATCACACCCAGTGCTGAAGGACATCACTTCATATCGCAAATTGGTCGGTTCGCTGCTGTATATTGCGAACGCAACGCGACTGGACATAAGTTACGCGATGTCAGTGCTATCGCAGTACTTGGATCAGCCACGACAGATGCACTGGCGTGCGGCTCTACGCGTCTTGCACTATATTATGGGAACACAATCGCATGGAATTGCGTACAAGAAATCAGACGAAAATAAGATGATGCTTCGGGCATACTGTGATGCGAATTGGGGAAAGGATAAGAAGACTCGTCGATCTACGTCTGGTGTGTTGATTCTGCTCGGAGGTGCAGTTGTGGTTTATAAAAGCAAACGCCAAACTTCGGTGGCTTTATCCTCTGCTGAAGCGGAATATATGGCATTGGCACTAGCTACGCAAGAAGTGATGTGGATTCATTATTTGCTGAAGGAGATGGGTGTGATGTATAAGACTGCGACAACGGTTCACATGGACAACAAGTCAGCGATTAGTATCGCGACAGATCAAGGAGACACACCAAGAGCTAAACACATCGACCTCAGGGTGCATTTTGTGCGAGATCACATTGAGCAAGGTGAGGTTCAGCTGAAACATGTTCCGTCAGCTATGCAACTTGCGGATTACCTGACAAAGTCACTTGCTGCACCGCAGTTAATGCGACTACGCGATGAAAGTGGAATTCGCGAGAGTGCAAGTTGAAGGGAAGTGTAGAAGGTCACGACTTACGACGGTGATGTGCGTGTCGTGAAAAGGGCAACTTGCATGGACAGTGGTCTTGGAACTATCTGGATTGAATTGATCAGTTATGAGGGGATCTATATATTCATTTGAGCAGTAGTTTTAACTCTTAATACTACTTTCCATTTTGCAGCACAGAGAAGTAATTGAGCTTTTGTTATAAGATTCGGCGAAGAACCGAATTCCGGTATATGATGCGTGTGCAAGAATTCTAACGGATGTTGAGCTGTGTGTAGTAGCTTATCTGAAATGATACGAATACTTTCTTTTGTACGTGTTGGTTAAATAAGTGCGTTGGTCATCCCAAGACGATCAGCAATCCCACGAGCTACCCTTAGCTCGTCACGAAGAGAAGTTAGTGTTTTCCCTGCCCTCCGCTGAGCAAAGGCAAACTCAGCTCGATGCTTCGAGGCAGTGTCCGCCATTTTTGGAGACGCCTATTCCGCTCATGTTCGAGATCGCCGCGTAACCCTTGCGTTACGGATCAAAGAATCTCTCGGAACACACGCTTCCCAATACGATTGTGTGGAGAGCCGCTCCGCTCCTCCTCCACCTCCATTAGAGGACTCTCGCGGTGGCCAGCGCTATCTAGTTGAGCAGCTGTTGAAACTCATCGCGACGTGAACGGACGTTGGACGAGTTATCTCGTCCGGTGGCGCGGCTATCCCCGTCCTGGGATACTTGGGAGCCCCGCTCCCAACTGATGGTCGACGTACTGGGTCTGGTTCGAGCAGTATGACGCGGCACATCCTGTGCCGCAGAAGGACCGCCGGAGAAAGTCTTCCCCGGCACGGTCGTAAAGGGATTTCAAGCTGTCAATCCCTGCGTACACCTCACTAGAGATATGTACACGCCACCACGGGCCATTAGGGAGGTAAAGCCTCCTTAGGTGCTTCGTGCAGAGTTGTTCACACAACATGGGCTTGATTCCTCCCAGAAGAGAAAGGGTAATCGTGGACTGGGACAAAGATGTATCCCTAGCGGGGAACATCTAGAAGAGAAACGATCGATCGCTCAGGTTAAGCGAAACGATAATCCTAGATCGACTGGAGAGTCTTTCGTAGAGGATCTCGCTGTTGTTGCGCAACCCCAGCTAGAGGAAGAAAAGGGAATAAGTCCCAAGATTACAAATACGGCGGAAATAAGTTCCCCGATACCCGCGGGAATAAGTCCCCCGGGAAGCCGAAGGAATAAGTCCTTCGAGGCCTGAGGGAATAAGCCCCCCAGGAAATGACAGAGACATTGAATGT